AGAAGACACAGAAACTGATACAAGCACACCTACATTTGTCCATTTAAGTCACAACTATAGCCTCTTAAACCTTACCAAAATAGCGTTTCAACAGTATTTCTTGCTGTCCAGTCAAAAACTGGTACAAGCATAGGTGTAAATCACATGGCAGACCACCAGAATCAGACATGTTGGCAATTTCTAACAATCCAGGCAGTTTTAACTGTTTACAAATTTGCATTTGTGAATCCTCTAGCCCAATGCACTTGTGATGCATATTGTTTTGGAATATACTGAAGTCAAATCTCATAAAAATATAAATCTATTATAACCAAATTCAACTGCCAGGAATGTTTGACATCATTCAGTCACTCACTTTTTGCATGTTTATAGTAAGCCAGGCACTGAGTTAGTTTCTGGAGATAAAGATCCTGAGGGCCAGCACTGTGGCATAGTGGGTAAAAGCTGCTACCTGTAGTACTGGCCATATGGGCACCAGTTCCAGTCCCACCTGCTCCACTTCCAATCCAGCTCTCTGCTATGGCCTAAGAAAGCAGTGGAAGATAGCCCAAGTCCTTGAGCCCCCGCCACCAACATGGGAGAGGCGGAAGAAGCCCCTGGCTCCTGGCTTCAAATCAGTCCGGCTCCGGCCTTTGTGGCCATTTGGGGAGTAAACCAGCGGATGAAGAGCTCGCTCACTCTTGTGTGTGTGTGTGTGTGTGTCTGTGTGTAACTCTGCATTTCAAATAAAGAAATCTTTTTTAGGAAAAGATTCTGATCCCATGGAGCTGTACTCTGATAAAGAAATGCACACTGGGTGTTGTACAAGCAAAAAGGACACTAGGTGTTTGTGTGTGTGACTACTGGTCTGAAGTGGGGTGGAGAGATTAGGTTGAGGATAAACAGGCATCTCAAATAAAATATACATGTGCAGAGCTCCAGAGCTGGGAAAACATGAAAATGAAGAACTGGGCATTACAGACAGTCAATATAACTATAAAGCACAAAGTAGCTGACAAGCCATAAGGACTGGAAAGACAAAACTACAGGCAAGATCAGCGTGCTAAGCCTGATTTGTTCTCTGAAGACTACAAGAACCATTAAAGAAAAGGATTTTAAGCTGAAGAGGCCTGTATGAAAAGATCAGGATTCTTACCACTAGGTGGTTGTTGATGTTCTGGAATAACTTGGATGATGACACTTAACCAGAGCAGGCAGACTAAAGATAGACAGACACAGATTAAATACAAATGGCCTGGATTTCTTATTCTTTTCTAGAAACAGTAAGGAAAGATAGTTGGAAAGAAAAATTTACCTATTGATTTGTAACAACTAGAATTTATTGAATATTTACAAGATGCCAGGCACTATGTTGAAAGTCTCCTATATATTGACTTATTTCAACCTCATTACAAACCTATGACACAGTTATTACTTTATAGAAGAAACTCATGCAGAGAGGTAAAATAATATACTAGTAAGTGGCAATGCCATATACCAGGCAAGACTGACTTTCAAAGAAATATCCTTAACATAGTGCTTGGAATCACAATAAGCACTCAACAGATCCTGGGAGAGCAGGGAGAAAGTTTTGGCTCAATTCTACTCTAAAACAAGGTACTACAAGAACTCAAGAAATACAGAAGCAAAATGCAGTCCTAATCCAGGCTCTGGCAGAGAGCCTACATAGATTAGAACTATCAAGGATAAATATACTAGGTTTATAATCTTCAGAAAACTTAAAATAACTCAGAAACCATTTTTACTTCATTTATCCCTGATGATATAGTTTGATATAGGTTTCCTCTAACGATAGTCACATTTCAAGTCTATGGATCAATTAAGTGACCCTAGAACCTATTTCCTTATCTCCAAAGTAAGGACATGGTCTGAGATCCCTTTCAGATCTCAAACTAACTTTCAAATTATTCCATTCCAGATTCCAGTAACTTGAGATCTTCAGAATATATCATTATTATACCAATGTGAATACACTATGGTTCCTACTTTGTCCACTACTTCTCTCAAAAAAAAAAAAAAAGGTTAACCTACCTACATTAACAGAAGCCTCAGCTATCATGGGCTATCTACAGAGCTGATGTTCAGAATTCACAATACCTCCTTTTATTATCACAAAAAATTTAAAATGCAGTCAGGAGAGGTTTTTCATGTAATAAGATTTGAATTCACATAGTGAGCTAGTAAAGCAGACTTGTGAGATCTGGCAGTGAAGTATGGAGTTGAAGTAACTTCATCATGGAAACCTTTCCTGCACCTCTGCTAAATCTTGGGAATTACGCTGTTGAGACACTGTCCTTTCCAAGTCTTAATTTTAATAACTGTGAAGTATGCTATTAATAAGACCTTAACAGTTAATGTTAGGAAGAGCTTAATTTGGGCAGAAATTCTCAGAAAGTATAGTTCAATTTTCCTTTGAGACAATGTTTAAGTATCTGTATGCCAGGAGTTTCCTACTGTGTAAATCCAATTTAACATACATACAACATATTAATTTTTCTTAAGATTTATTTATTTATTTATTTGAAAGGCAGAGTTATACAGAGAAAGGAGAGGCAGAGAGAGAGAGAGGTCTTCCATCCTCTGGTTCACTCCCCAAATGGCTTCAACAGCCAGAGCTACACCTATCCGAAGCCAGGAACCTGGAGCTTGTTCTGGGTTCCCACGCGGGTAAAGGGCCCCAAGCATTTAGGCCATCTTCCACTGCTTTCCCATGCCACAGCAGAGAGCTGGATCAGAAGTCGAACTACCGGAACTTGAACCAGCGCCCGTACAGGATGCCAGCACTGCACGCAGCGGCTTTACTTGCTACACCACAGCGATCACCCCACACATTAATTTTCTATTTGCTCTCAGTGTAGCTGTATTATCCCAACAGTCAGGTAGACTTTTATGGCAGCAACTACTCAAAATTTTTCTGCAGACCCACTGGGACTTGGATATATCAGCCAACTGACAGTTCTCAGAAAAAAAAAAAAAAAGTTAAGGAACAAAATTTAAAGGCTTTCCATACAACACATGGGAATAAAGACCAGTATACAAGCTCCTATGAAAACCAGCATTATCATCCCAGAAGGTCTAAGCAGATGGACACTAATTTGTTTGTCTTCACAGCATAAAATCACTCTAGTGGTTTGCACATTATACCATAGGCACAGAACTCATGCTCTTAAAGAACAGTGATAAATTTGCACAGAGACTAAGAAAAAACAAGAATCCACTGGAAATTCATGTAAGACTACAACAGTAGCAGAAACAGCTCAATATCTTCTAAAAAAAAAAAATCCCTGGAGTAAGTAGGACACTAAGAGGCACGTCACATGGTTAATATACCTGCCTGACAAGCCATGTGATTTTGGTGAAAATCACAATGACATTGCTAAATAACAACAAAAGAGACCAAAAATAAAGAAAGAAAGAAGAGTGAGATCATTCCTACAAGATCTGCAAGGTGAGACACCTCCAATGCATATTTATGGAAAGCATCAATTCAAAGAAATCACCCTTTAAAGTTCCTAAAGCTGTGATTTCTAATTTCTAGGGGGTCATGAAGCTTCAAAATGCCTTTAAGCATCTGAAAAGACCTACAAACAATGCACATGCAATCCAGATGGAATCTGCTGTGCAATTTGAAGTATTCCTGAAGCCCACTCACCTCTTCTGTAGAGAGAGGCTGAACTGCCATAAAAATCACCAGTTTTGGGTCGTTACCTGAAAAGGGCATTGAAAGCACCTTATAGATCTTAAGCTAGTTGGGATCAGGGGCTCTCTGCTCTTCTCAACTACAGGAACTTCCCCTAAATTCAGCATACCATGGCATTAGTATTTTCCTCCACAATATTGCACACACCCCGTGGTATCCTGGTACTAGGCAGCTGGCATTCTCAGCCAACTGTCACAAAATAATATTCAAACCCAAAGCACCTGCTGCCCAAGAAGTCTACTTGTCCCCCAGCCAACAAAGTTATTCTCAAGCCTTTCTTCTAAGAGCAGGCACCAAAGCATCTTTTCACTGAATGCAAACAGTGTGTTCAGCAGGATCTTATCCTATCATTGTGTGTGCATGTGTGCGCTTGGCAGGGCGAATGGAAATCAAGGGATCCATGGCCTCCAGAGACCTTGTACGATCCTTGCAAGCAGACTTATTTCTTAAGTCATATCAGATGACTTTGTGGAATATATTACTAGCCCTGCTAGTAAACACAAAACAAGAACTTTGCCATTAACCAGCTTCTAGGGCAAGTGATGATCCACAGGGATCCACTTAATATTGCCCTTATCAGAGGCATAAAAATTCTCTGACATGCTAGTTATTACAAAACTTAACAATTCATAGGGCTGGTGCTATGGCATAGTGGGTAGAGCTGCCGCCTGCAGTGCCTGCATCCCATATGGGCATCAGTTCAAGTCCCAGCTGCTCCACTTCCGATCCAGCTCTCTGCTATGGCCTGGAAAAGCAGTACAAGATGGCCTAACTCCTTGGGCCCCTTGCACCCATGTGGGAGACCTGGAGGAAGCTTCTGGCTTTACATTGACCCAGCTCTAACCACTGCGGCCATTTGTGGAGTTGAACCAGCAAGTGAACGACTTCCCTCCCTCTCTCTCTGCCTCTCTTGTAACTCTGCCTCTCAAATATATAAATAAATCTTTAAAAAAACACCACCAACAAAAAATGACACTAGGAAACCTTTAAAAAAAAATTCAAGAACTCTCAAAGAGCCAGGCAACTTTAGACCCACAGAACAACAAATCACAACCTGTTACCCTCAACAGTGAACTATGGAAGAGAACTGAGTAGTTTAGGCATAATCTCTCCTCAGAACAAATGCAATAAAACAACTAGGAGAAAAGTGCTTCAATTAATCAAAGAACTAAATATTTTAAATGCAGCCAGTCTCTTAATCTAAGCTGATTATTTCATTCAAGAGCATTCCTAGAATATCAGGTGTAAAAATCAGTGAGTAATTAAAAAAAAAAATCAGAGAAAAACCACAAACACAAAATGCAAACTGAGTCCTGCTTTAATTGAAGCTTGTGCAGTATAAAGTCCCACAAAACATTACAGAGGATCTTCTGGAAAACAGGGATTGCAAGAACCCCTGTGGAGAAGAGGATGAGAGTAATTCATGGCTCCCCGAGGCCTCTCTGTGTTGGGTTCCAAGAGCACCCAGAAAAATCTCTTCACCTTCTTAGTTTTGCACCCTCCCCCCAATCCTCTCCAATCTTGATTTCATCAGAAGACAAAGGGTGTTATATCATTTGACATTATTCTGGCCTCAAGAAATTCAAAGACGTCAAGTAGCTGAATTCAAAACTTAAATAACTTCAACAAGGAAGCCAGCTGACCTTAAAAGTTACTTTGCTAGTAAAGGGGAAATGGATTGAATTATCCTGGACATAATTTCATTAAGGCTTCAAACCATCCAGGAAAGAGTAGTACAACTATACTATTTTATAATCTAAGTTTACAAAAAGTATACTACCCAAATCAAGAAAAGTTTGTGCCCATAGATAGCTTACTTCTAAAAGATCACTCCCCCAAAATAGTGTTGTTTCCACTTTGTTCCCTTTCCATGTCAAAAAAATACCAACGTAACTTCTTCAGGAGGAATGATGGGCCTGAAGAAGAAAATGTTGAAAAGTCTAAAAGCCGGAAATAAACAAAGCTGGTAGCGACGAAAAATAAGAATTGTTTGTTTCTAATTCATTCTAAAACCCAAGACTTGCATTTACCAGTCCTGTCCCCTGAAGTCATCTAGCTATTGGAGAGGAGAGCTTGACATAAAGTCTATAGAGGAAACGTAGTTGACAAACTGTCAAGGAGAGAAGAGGTAGAGGTCTGGTGGTTAATGAATAAGTGCCTGTCTAGTCAGCTTCTCTTCTCATAACTTGGTTCAACCAATGTAGATGCGATGGAAATCATTGGCACCAAAAGCAGCATTACACTTGGGACATTTGCGCTGGCGGGTGTCATAGCGTGTCTTCACACACTCAAAGCAGAACACATGAAAACACTTGGTAAGTACAGCATCCTTTTTACGCATGTTGCAGCATGGACAGGTCAGACGTGCCTAAAAAAAAGGAAATAAATCAGATTGTACAAACGGTTCTTATATATAAGCAAACAACTACAGCAAAACCATAAGCAGTGAGACAAATTATTTTCTCACCCAAAATGCAAACTATTCTGAGGCTACTTTGATTTAAAGTTCAGTATTTATCCTCCCAACACATTAACAGACCATTTCAGGCTCCGACAAGAAAACACAAAGAAATCACTGAGGCAGTTTTGCTAACCTTGTAATCCTTAATCTCCTCCATCAGAATCTCATCACATTTGGGTACATTGTCTGGTTTCTTTGTGGTCTCAAGTTTCCTTCGAAGTCTAGAGATGTCCTCCTGTGGTAGGACAGAATACCCATTAGACACAAGTCCCCAGACCTGCCATTTTTGGAGAAAAATAATTGCTGCAACTTGAATTTTCCATTGTGGAAAGTATGTTCTGTCTTTTTATGTCCAATTATATTTAGGAATGTAGGGAATTGTAAATGGCAAGGTATTTTGATTCAGAACAGGCAACCACAATCATATCCCTAAATTAAAGTTGCACATAACTACTGCCAATTCCATCTTCTGGAAATATAAGATATATAGGAAAGGCCACTTCATTTTGTGGTAATCAGTTTTAAGCTAAAGGCAGACTGGAAAGTTACAGATGTATGTTAGGAAAGTTTAGAAAGGTATAGAAATAGATGACATGACAAAAATTGAGAACTTTTTATTTATTTGAAAGGCAGAGTGACAGAGAGGGAGAAACAGCCGAGAGAGTTATCGTCCACCTGCTGGTTCACTCCTGAAATGGCCACAACAGCCAGGGCTTGGCCAAGATGAAGCTAGGAGTCAGCTAGGAGTCCCAACTGGGTAGCAATAACCCAAACACTTGGACCATAAGCCATAATCTGCTGCTTCCCTGGTGTGTTAGCAGAAAGCTGGATCAGAAACCTGGAATAGCCAGGACTCAAATGGGCACTCTGACATGGATGTGGGCATCCTAAATGGCAGCTTATCTGCTATGCCCCCATGCCTGCCAAGGAGAAACTTTTAAGATTTATTTTATTTATTTGAAAGGCAGAGTGACAGAGATCTCCCATCTGTTGGTTCACTCCCCAACTGGCTATAATATCCAGAGTCAGGCCAGGCCAAAGCCAGAAGCCTGGAACTCCATCTAGGTCTCCCACATGGATGGCAGGGGTACAAGTACTTGGTGCATTAGCAGGGAGCTGGACTGAAGCAGAGCAGCTGGGATTCAAACCAGTGTTCTGATATATAGTATGCCAGTGTCACAAAACCAGTCCCCTAAAGGAACTTTAAATCCTCTAAAATTACTGGGCTGCTACTGCTTTAACAATTCATTAATTCATTCATTTAATAAATATTTATTTCATGCCAATTAGGTGGTAGGCACCATAATAGGCTTGGGAGATATGGCAGTAAAGCAAACAGATTCGGTCTCTTCTCACAGGGAACTTACAGTCTAATAGGAAACGACACACATTAGACTAATGACTTTTCCATCACACGGATTACTTCAGACCTCAGAAAACATCTAAAATGCAAAATGTAAAGAAAAGACAACTTGGGGCCAGCGTTGTGGCTTGGCAGGTTAAGCCACCCCTGGGACACCGGCATCCCACATGGATGCTGGTTCAAGTCCCAGCTGCTCCACTTCTGATCCAGTTCTCTGCTAATGCACGTGGGAAAGAAGCAGAAAATGGTCCAAGTACTTGGGCCCTTGCACCCATGTGGGAGACCTGGAAGAAAGTCTTGGCTCCCGGCTTTGGTCTGTTGCAGCCATTCAGGGGGTGAACCAGAGGACTGAAGATGTCTCTGTCTCTCCTTCTAACTCTGCCTTTCCAATAAAATAAATGAATTTATATATATATATATATATATATATATATATATAAAAAAGGCAACTGCTCTTACCTGAGCTCGTTTGAAATTGAACATGTCCTTTTCTTTGGTGACACTGTTCTCCACAATCTCATCCTGAAAATCATGTAGCTTCTTCTGAGCCAACTCCAACTGTGCTTTGAGGTCATCTGCAAGCTGGGCTGCCTCCATTGCCTACACAGGAGAAACAACATCATCGTACTACCTCTTATTTCCAATGAGGCAAAGTGTTAACCAAGTTCAAGGAACAAAGTGAACAACATTTTACTAAAATACATAATTTCATCAATGCTCTTCTTACTCGTTACTCTGAGACTATCACTTTAGATCAGGCATCAATCATACCTTGCGTTTGTTCATCTCTAAGGCTTGAGTTCTAAGACCCAGCTCCTTCTCCCCTGTGCCAATGTTGCTCTGTAACAGATGCTCCTTCTCTTCTAGTTTCCTTACTACTTGTAATTGGGCATCAACCTTTGAAGAAGACAGATTTCAACACAACAGGAAGAAAATAAAATAAAACTGACTATGATCTCTTAGTCAACAGGCCCACAAAATAGAAAATGTTAGAAATCTCAACTATCACTGATTTTCCCCATGAACTCTTCAAAATACAAGAGCATTTCAAAAAAATTTGTGGAAAATAGAATTAAAAGATAAGTTTATTTTTGTGTAAAAACATTTTGAAATCCAGTTTTTTCATAATACGCATTTTCCATGACCTTTTTGAAAACCCCTTGTACATGCAGCAGGTCTGAGATAATTAAAAGCTTCATTTTTCATATAAAATATTCGTCAAGATTCAAATAAGAATCTGGGATTTCAGACTCTTCCAAATTGACAAAAATACAGGAAACTGTAATTACAGATATATACCTCTTCTCCAGCCATACTAATTCTGAAAACTTGGCAATTCATATCAGAACATATAAATGATGGTTCAAACAAAAATCCAACTATAGGGGCCAAGGGCTATGGCACAGCAGGTTAAACTGCTGCCTACGGTGCTGGCATCCCATATGGGTGTCAGTTCAAGTCCCAGCTGCTCCACTTTCAATCCAGCTCCCTGCTACTGTGCCTAGAAAAGCAGCAGAAGACAGCCCAAGTGTTTAGGCTCTGCATGCAAGTGGGAGACCTACAAGAAGCTCTAGGCTCCTGGTTTCAGCCTGGCCCAGCCCTGGCCATAGCAGTCATTTGGGGAATGAACCAATGGACAGAAGATCACTCTCTGTTTCTCCCTCTATAATTCTGCCTTTCAAATAAATTAAAAATCTTAAAAAATTCAAATACATCTGTTTCGGAATGGCCATAGAGGTTCTAAAGTCATTTTCTAGAAATTAACAAAGAAGAATCAAACAATACTAAAAGGTAGAATATAAAATCACACACCCACTTCCTAACACCTCACTCACAAACTCTCACCCCAACAACCATAGGCAACCAACCATTCTCACTACAATCTTTCATACAGTCTCCCAGAAATTTTAAAAACACACAGCACATGCACGTAAGTGCACACACATTTTTAGATATTTTTTCCACAGTAGCAGATCCAAATTTGCTTTAACAGCTACACTGTATTCCTTTGTAGGGATTTATAATTTATTTGCCAGTACACTAACAGTGGACATTTCGTTTTTAGTTTTTTTTCCCCATCCTACTTTAACACAATGGAAAGCTATATTTATTCTAATTACCTGAGTCTTCAGAGTCAAAACCTGGTCTGCCAGCTCCTCTTTCTCTTCTTTAAGCAACTTATGGATCTGATTGGACTTGATACGCTCTGACATGAGCTTGAAATTGGCATCATCCTTCTCCCGTAACTGCTGCATCAAACGGATGTTTTGCTCCTGCATATCTTCAAAGGCCTGACCTGTAACATCCATCTCAGAGAGGAGAGCTTCTTCCTCCTAAAATGAGGAAGAAGAACTTCCATTTCAGTAGAATTTTCTAACTCCATACAGGCAAGCTATAAACTTTAGGAAGCTACAAACTGTCCTACTGTTCATTTAGACATAAAATAGAGACACACAAAGCTTAGTTTTGTAGCTACATGAGCCCCAGAAAAACAGAAGACCTATTATCTGGAGTCACTGGCATCGATTTTTCATATGATACTTATTAAGTGATTTGTATTCAGTTAAACGTGTAATATTTATATACACATTAATCTAGCACAGCAGTTAAGAATATTCTATTATAAAGTACCACATTATCTCAGACATTTCCATTAATTATAATAGTCAGTCCTTTGTTTCCACAGGGAATGCATTAGGGGATTCAACCAACCATGGGTCAAAAATTTACAAAAAGGGGCCGGCATTGTGGCACAGCAAGTAAAGCTGTGAATGTGAGCAACCCATATCACAGTGGCTATTAAGAGTCTGGCTGCTCTGCTACCAAGATAGCTTCCTGCTGATGCTCCTAGGAAAGCAGCAGAATATGGCCCAAGTACTTGAGCCCCTGACACCCATGTGGAGACCAGAATAGAATTCTTGGCTCCTGGGTTTGGCCTGGCCCAGCTCTAGCTGTTGAGGCCATTTGAGGAGTGAACCAGTGGATAGAAGATTTGCTCTCTTTCTCTTTGTTTCTATCTCATCCTCTTTCGCTGATATTCTTTCAATTACATAAATAATTCCTTTAAAAAAATAAAAAAAAAAACACAAAATTTATATCTGCACTGAACATGTATGAACATTTTCCTTATCATTATCCTCTAAACAATACAGTAAAACGATTAACATAGTACTTGCATTATATTAGGTATTGTAAGTAACCTAGAGATGATTTAAAGTACACAGAAGGAGGTATGTAAGTTATGTAGAAATATTGCACTATTTATATAAGGAATATGAGTTCTTGGATTTTTGTATCCATGGGAAATCCTCAACACAATTCCTTTTGCATACTGAGGAACAAGTGTTGAATTTTATCTATAGAATTTCCACAGCAGTTGCAAACATGCAGTTTCATAACAATCAGCTAGGTAACAAATGAATCTTAAAATGGCTTTATATTTTTTAGAGTTATTTTATAAATCAGGTGAAAAAAGTCCTTTTGTGATAAAACTTAAAAATATTTTTTTCTTTTTATCATTTAATCATTTAGCTTGCCTAATAGTTTTTCTGTCATATAGAAATTTATCTTTTCATAATTCATATAACCAACCTTTTATTCATTTTTGGTGGGCCTTTTAATAGTTAGAAAGTCTTCTCTACTCCAAATGGATCAAAGAGTTCAATGTTTTTTTTTCTAGCTCTTTAAAGCATTCATTTTTTTTTTATTTTATCAAATGCTTAATTTTTTTTTTAACTTTTATTTAATGAATATAAATTTCCAAAGTACGGCTTATGGATTACAATGGCTTCCCCCCCATATCGTCTCTCCCACCCGCATCCCTCCCCTTTCCCACTCCCTCTCCCCTTCCATTCACATGAGGATTCATTTTCGATTCTCTTTATATACAGAAGATCAGTTTAGCATACATTAAGTAAAGATTTCAACAGTTTGCTCCCACACAAACATAAAGTGAAAAATAATAGATGATTTTTTAAATGATGATGAAATCAGATCAGACCTATTGTCATGTTTAATCCCAGTGAGAGTCAAGTTGGGAATTGATAATTTCTTCTTTTTTTTTTTTTTTACAGAAGATCAGTTTAGTATACATTAAGTAAAGATTTCAACAGTTTGCACCCCCATAGAAACACAAAGTGAAATATACTGTTTGAGTACTAGTTATAGCATTAAGTCTCAATGTACAGCACATTAAGGACAGAGATCCTACATGAGGAGTAAGTGCACAGTGACTCCTCTTGTTGACTTTACAAATTGACACTCCTGTTTATGGCATCAGTAATCTCCCTATGCTCCAGTCATGAGTTTCCAAGGCTATGGAAGCCCTCTGAGTTCTCCGATTGTTATCTTGTTTAGACAAGGTCATAGTCAAAGTGGAGGTTCTCTCCTCCCTTCAGAGAAAGGTACCTCCTTCTTTGAAGACCTGTTCTTTCCACTGGGATCTCACTCACAGAGATCTTTCATTTAGGGTTTGTTTTTTTTTTTTTTTTTTTTTTTTTGCCAGTGTGTCTTGGCTTTCCATAAAGCATTCATTTTTCAAAATACTATATCATACTTATTGTATGTTAAAAATACAGTTTTAAATCAGTCAAGAAAAGGAAGACTATTAAAAGTGGGATAAATATTTTTAAAAAGTTGGAAAAATGTTGAATACATACTTGAACATTCTACTCTAGGATGACTTCTAAATAGGTCATAGAATTCTTTTAAATTCTTAATTTTTATGTATATAAATAAAACAGATTTCATATACTTCCTATATACAATTTTAAGCACATAATGATACTTCCCAGTCTCCCTTTCTATGATTCATTTGGAAATCACTCTAATGTAGAATGTCCAAGTATATATTCAACAATTTTCCAACATTATTTTCTTTAGTCCCATCACATTTAATAGTTTCTTTCTATTATTTATAATTTTCTAGTGTACTTTATTTATAATTTTCATGTGTACTTTCATCTAATTCCAGATTTTCTATGCATTTGTAGTAACTGCTATTTACCTACTGACACTTTAATACCTGGAGGAGACCCCATTGCTAGTTTTTCAGTTCTTCTTATAATTCTTGTTTACTTTTCCATAAGTACCTTAAAATCAGTTTGTCTAATACCAAAATGAAAACCAAAACAGAAAAAGAGTACTTTTATTGGGATCACATTAAACTTATATTAATTTAGGAAAGATTAACAGTTTTAAGATAAAATGAATTAACCTACACAAGAACATAGTGTGCCTTCCTTCCACTTATTCTAGAACCTACAGCAGTACAATTTCCTAATAATTATTTTAGAAAGAGAAAGAAAGGCGGCAATTACCAAATTTAAGAAAAGCCAAAGGCCTACATTTTATAAAACGAATGTGTATAAGATCCAACAAAATTTATTTCTGAGGCACTTAATGATCAATTAAAATTACTTCAACTCATTTTTGTTCTGTCATTTCTTAAGAAACAGTGAAGAGGTCAGAGCCAATAGATTAATTCTCTGCCTGCGGCACTGGCATACCATATGGTGGCCAGTTCTAGTTCCGGCTGCTCCTCTTCTGATTCAGCTCTCTGCTGTGGCCTGGGAAAGCAGTAGAAGATGGTCCAAGTGCTTGGGCCCCTAAACCCTCGTGGGATACCTGGAAGAAGCTCCTGGCTCCTGGGTTCGGATCGGCTCAGTTCTGGCCATTGCAGCCATGTGGGAAGTGAACCAGTGATAGAAGACCCTTCTTTCTTTCTCTCTCTCTCTTTCTTTCTCTGTCTGTAATTCTACCTCTCAAATAAATAAAAACTTAAAAAAAAAAAAAAAGAAATAGTGATGTTGCTCCTGACAGTGAATGTATGATTGCTGCAACCACCATTTTTGGTATCTTTATTACTGAATGTTACTAAAAACTCTCTGGAACAAAAAATGAAGAAATATATGTTCATTATGAAAAGGCAGTAGTCTCTATAGCTCAATGACCAAGAAATAATCAACAAATTGGTTATTTATTGATAACCTATTTGGGGAGCATACTTTTCTTAGTTTATTATATTTTTCATCATAATGTATATAAAATTACATATCCCTTTTTAAAAATTTTATATTCACTGTCTCCGCTGATTTTCAATAAAGAATGTTTACTTATTTATTAACATGATGCTATCCATTTGAAAATAAAAGTGAATTTCTTGTACTGCAAATAACAAAAGAATGAAAAACTTGAATGCAAAAAAAAAAAATAGAGGAGAAACAATACTATCATCATAAACACTAGAATGAAAGAGCAAATTTCAATGGCAGTAACTTACCTGTCAACAACTAAAGTCTCCTGTCAATTAAATAAAAGTGTACCCACCTGCTTGGCCATGGCCAGCTTCTTCTGCAGGTATTCTATCTGCTCCTCCACTGCCCGGATCTTCCTCAGGGCATCCTCATCGGCCATTTTCTTGTTCTCTTTCTTCTCCTTATCCTCTAGATCCTTGAGTCTTTGCCTTAGATCTTCCAACTATAGGAAGGAAGAGAAATTATGCAAAGACAAAAGAAAATATAATTCATTTATAAAAATCAATCAATACTGAACACAGATGAGGGCCTACAACACCAAAAGAACTTTACATGCTAATGGGACATGAGAAATGATATACTAATCCATTATATTATAATACTGCTTTAATATCACTCCAGTTCAATATCTCATGTTTCTATGAGCAATGTTTTTCATGAGTACACATGTACTTTTCTTTAAAACAGTCATTTCTGGGGCTGGTGCTGTGGCTGGCGTAGTGGGTTAAGCTACCGTCTGCAGTGCCGGCATCCCATATGGGTGCCAGTTCGAGTCCCTGCTGCTCCACTTCCGATCCAGTTCTCTGCTATGGCCTGGGTAAACAGAAGATGGCCCAAGTCCTTGGGCCCCTACACCCACATGGGAGATCCGGAAGAAGCTCTTGGCTCCTGGCTTCGGATTGGCACAGCTCTGGCAGCAGCAGTCAACTGGGGAGTGAACCAGCGGATGGAAGACCTCTCTCTTTCTCTCTCTCCTTTCTCTGTATAACTCAGACTTTCAAATAGATAAATAAATCTTTAAAAAAATAATAAAATAGTCATTTCATACTTTTTTCTAAGTCCCAAACTCGTATAAGAGTATAACAAAAAAAGAGTAACTACAGCAATACAGATTTATATCAGTAAAGTGGGCAACCAAAAAATCTGAAAAGCATACTCCTATTCTTGGTAATTCGAATATATCCTACCACATTAGGGAGAATCTTAAAACCTCAACTTTAGAGAATCTCCGAGAGAGTAGAATACGTTGCTAAGTTCAACACTAATGTTGTAGATAAAGGGACCACATTCCTGACAAGTATGAAAAAAAGTTCCACAAATGAAGATTTTAACCAGAATCACAGGTAATGGGAGATGCGATTACCTCTGCCTTGGACTTCTTCTCGGCTGCCATCAGCTGAACTTTATCTCTCTGTTCCTTTGGGGCAGAGCGGTACATGTCTAGCAGCAGCTTCATCTCCTTCTGGCTCTCCTGTGCCTTCCTATTACAGACATGGTAGAAGACCGGGAATGATGAAAAAACAAAGGGCATAGGAACAAAGGGATTCTGAACTGAGCAGAATATTTAAAAAAGTTTATTTTACTTTATATCACACTTAAAAGATAAAATTCTACACAGACTATTAATAGACTTCTGGATACACTCAGCACAGAAAAGGGTCATTCCCTTTCAGACCAAGTCTTCTAAAAAAGTTATAAAATACAGACTTTTGTGGCACTTATTATAACAGCAAATTTCCATTACCCCACTTTTAGGAAACTGATATTCAGTAGGTCTGGGAGAGGGTCTAGGAAAGCATTTAAACAAAAGTCTGAAACATCTATTCCTATTTTTGGTGATTCTGATGTATCTTACCACATTGTGAAGAATCTTAAAATAGCCTTTGAGAGGTTAGAAGATAGTAAAAAATTAAACACTAAATTTAAGATGAACAGACTAAAGCCTTCAGAAGTATGAAAATCCCACAAATGAAGAAGAATAATGATTCTTACACCACATCTGAGAAAAGAATATTTGCCTTAAGCAGATCAAGGAGAAAAAAAGGAAACAACTGAAGACATTAAGTACCATATGCTAATCCTAGTTTTGAAAGTTTAACTGTCAGCTGAAAATTAAAGCCTCATCTCTTAATAAAAAATTAAACTTTTTAACTATAATTTTACACCACAGAGATTTAAGCATTTTGAATAAATCCAAGGATGACATCCAAATATCAACCAAGAGTAAACCAGGAAAAATTGGGATCAAGAAATAATCAGTTTTATCAGAGAAGTCATTGCTTATGCAGGATAAGGGACAACAAGAGGTTATGACACACATGTTTCACTGGGTCTTACTATTTCAATGTCTATAGAAATAAACTTCCCAAGAAGCCTCTTAAAATGATCTGGTATATTCACCAACAGTTAACTGTTGGCAAATAGATTAGATTTTGGTGAAGGTATAGTGATACATACTCCACTTAGTATAACTTAAATCACAATTAATGCCAGCAATTTGCCCAAAATCAATGAAGACTAATAGTTACTTTTTTCCCCCTTGTTTTTTTTTTTTTTAAAGATGTATTCATTTGAAAGTCAGAGTCATACAGAGGAAGAGAGAAAGAGATCTTCCATGCATTGGTTCACTCTCCAAATGGGCACAACGACTAGGGCTTTTCCAGGCTGAAGCCAGGAACCAGGAGCTTCTTCTGGGTCTCCCATAAGCATAGCAGGGACCCAAACACCTGGGCCACTCTCTGTTGCCTTTCCCAGGCCATTAGTAGGAAGCTGGATCAGAAATGGAGCCACTAGAACTCAAAACAGCACCCATATGGGATGACAGTGTTGCAGGTAGTGGCTTTTCCCACCACGCCACACTGCTGGCCCCTAATTTTCTAATAATTCTCAAGGGTATTACTTCAATCATGACATTCCTTCCCTTAATCCTATTTTTAAAGAATAAGACTGCAGGGACCAGCACTGTGGCATAGTGGGTAAAGCTGTTGCCTGCAGTGCCAGCATCCCATATGGATGCCGGTTCTAGTCCCAGCTTCCAATCCAGCTCTCTGCTACGGCCTGGGAAAGCAGAAGATAGCCCAAATCTTTGGGCCCCTGCACCCACATGGGAGACCTGGAGCAAACTCCTGGCTCCTTGCTTCATATCAGCACAACTCCAGCCGTTGCGGCCAATTGGGGAGTGAACCAGCGGATGGAGGACCTCTCTCTCTCTCTCTCTCTCTGCCTTTCCTTCTCTCTCTGTGTAACTCTTTCGAATAAATAAATAAATCTTAAAAAAAAAAAAAAAAAAAAGAATAAGGGTATGACCGTGGGTTTTAGTGATACCTGATCACTGAGTACACAACAGCCACCCAGGTCATTCTGCACACTTCATTAAGGATGGAGAACATAGTAACTGCACACTTAGTTACATCCAAGTAGTGACAATGAGCACACAAGCCATGGCATCGATCAAACATTTCATGCATGGAGTCTTCACCTTAGTTTTTGACTCAGAAACAGTTATTCTAAATATTGTTCTTACTTGAGTTCAATCTTCAACTGTTTGATAATTTCCGCTTCCTTTTTCCTTACATCATCGTGTTTCCCTTTCTCTTTATCCTTAGCAGAATCTCTCTCTTTTTCTGATTCTTTTAGTTTCTGCTTTTCTCGTTCTCTCTCCTTTTCCTTCTCCCGCTCTCTTTCTCGCTCCCTCTCTTTCTCTCTCCTTTCTCGTTCTCGCTCCTCCTCATCCCGTTTGGACTTAATCTCATTGACATCCTCCTGAGAAGATTTTGATGCTGAGGATTGGGTAGCTGAGTCCTCAGAGTCCTGTTTTAGCTCTGCAGGTTCATCCTTAGAGTCCTCAGTACTAGACTGAGACTGCAGGAGGGCACTGCCACTCCGCAGACGTGTCTGGGAGAAAAGAGAGGAAAAATGCACATCACTAATGAGAACCACATCGCTCACCTCACTCAAAAATAGCTTTAAAACTTAATAGCAAATAATCTTTATTCTACTCCTCCCAGTTACCTTGTTCAGGTCCGACTGGGCTTCTCTCAATTTCCGCTTATACCTTAGCACCTCACCTTTCAGCTGGTGATTATGATTCTGGAGGCTACTGATGAGGTGGCGCATCTCCCGGTTTATAGGGCCTTAAACACAGCAATAGCAATGTTATGAAGAACTGTGTTAGGGGCAAAAGCACAAGGAGAGAAAGTGCAGAACCTATCAGGAACCTCTGAGAAACAGGGAGACCCACAAAAAAAGACACCTTCTCAGGAGATGAAAATAAAACTGGTCCACTTGAGTTAAAAATCAAATATCCAGACTGTGAACCAAAATGAATTACAGGACTTGATTAAAGTACTTTAGGAGCTTCTGAGTTCCAGGTAGTTTCCACCAATCCTGGAGATTGTGTAAATCCTGGGAAGGATCTGTGTCTTTCAAAGAAGTAACTTATAACAAACAGTAGGTTGGAGTGAGAATAATTATACCTGCTTGTTCATTGGCAGCAAGAGTCTGCTCAAATTCTATCCTCAGCATTTCATACTCCTTGCGGACCTGGGCCAGCGTATCTTCTAGCTGGATCACTTCAGTCCTTAGCTTCTTATGAAGGCTGACTTCATCTCGCTGTATACAAAAAGTGTAGCAATAAGCAATTCTTATCAAAAAGTAGAAATATTGTATCTTACTATTCTATTTCCTAAATATAATTTATTTATAAGAGAAAAAATGCCAAGAAAAGAATGGATTATCTGAAAATTTCCAGTTCAATCAATATTTAATGAACACCTGATAATCACAAAATAATGATTTGGAAACTGGCAGAATACTGAAGAAATAAAGGCCACTAACTGAATATATTGCAACTGGATAACTAAACCTTAAAACAGTATATAAACATAGTATTCAAGTAGCCAGCATGATCATTACTTTAAGAACCACAAAAAATATAGAAGTGAACATATGAATTAAAGTTTCTGGTTAAAAAAGCATGGATCTATAACTGCCATTACATGTTACAATGGTGTCCAAGTAGTGACGCATTTTTTACCAGCTATTTTCCCCGATATACTCAGCTCCAGCCATACTAAACTGCCTATGTGTCATACTCTGACATGATTTTCAAATATGTTGTCCTCACTACTGAGAATGCCCTTCTACTACTTTTAGCTACCAAGAATAAATAAAGAAACTTATATTTATCCATAAGATTCATATTTCACTTTCTCAAGTAGAATTGGGAAGATTGCAGTCAAAACAGATGCCCTGTCTCCTTGATCACAACATCCTGTAGATATGTTTTGTATCACAGTGTATTTTAATGGATACTATTCTCTCAATAGATTTTAAGATTCCTGAAGGCAGTAATTCTGTTGTCTCACCTCTGGGTGCCGACCACCTAGCAAAGACTGACAGCTACTATACAAATGCTGGCTGAAGGAATGAGAGATAAATTGCATGTAAGAGTAAAATTATAAAACTAATGAGACACAATGCTTATACAGAGGACAAAGAAAGACTATTACCTCAATGAGCTCAACTTGGCGCTGGTGGGTTCCTCTGGTGCCATGAAGCAGGGTCCGGGCCTCATCCAAGTGTGCTTTCAACTGCAGGCTCTCATTATACAGGACAGAGAACTGCGACTGCATGCAGCGATATTCTGGAGTTTCCTTAACCACTTCCTCCACAGCACTTCGCAATTCCACCTAAGGTAGACCCAAAGAAATGAAAGTCAGAAGTCCAATCTAACAACTGTGCTCCAGGTGCTAGACAGACAGGAGATTAAAATCTTGTACTCACGGTTGTCCTGAACAACTCAATTTTTATTGAAGATTATGAAGTCTATCTACCTGTTCCTCTATGTAAAAGTCTGCCCCAAATAAAGCATACTACCCAAGAGGTGCTACCTGAATACACTGTACTCTTTACCCCTAAAACTATTTTGATAAAAGGTACTTAAAAGAGTCCATGGAAAAATGGAATTAAAAGATGCGTTTATTTTGGTGTACAAAATTCTGAGGTTAGCACTGTAGCACTGAAGCACCCCAGATGGAGTGCCAAGAGACAGCTGTTGTACCTGGGAAGATAATGCTCCTGGGAAGGCAGAGGATGATGACCCAAGTACTTGGACCCTGCAACCCATATGGAAGACCAGGATGAAGTTCCTGGTTCCTGGCTTCACTCTGGCCCCAGATCAGATCTGGATGTTGCAGCCCTTTTGGTAATGAAATAGTAAATGGGAGATCTCATTCTCTTTCTGTTTCTCTATCACTCTTTCAAATTCATAAGTAAATTTTTAAAAAAGGTTCTGAAATCCATTCAGTTATTTCAAAATACATATTTTCCCACAAATTTTTTTAAAACCCCTTGTATGTATGAACTTCAAAACTTTTCACATCAAAATAAACTTATTTTTAATAACATTTTCCACAAACTTTGAGTATCCTCATACATGTTCTACATTTTCTCAACCTAGATACAAAGACAACAGGAGAACCTCTAGAAAAGCTCTATGACATTTGGCAGGATGCTTATTTTAAACACGTAGTTGAGAACTCCACTCACTAACACATGCTCTTTTTTTTTTTTTTTAGATTTATTTTATTTTTTGAAAGGCAGTTATAGACAGAGAGAGAGGATAGAGAGTTTATCCACCCACTGAATCACTCCCCAAATGGCTGTAATGGCTGGAGCTGAGCTGATCCAAAGCCAGGAGACAGGAGCTTCCTCCAGGTCACCCATGCGGGTGCAGAGCCCAAGGACTTGGGCCATCCTCTACCACTTTCCCAGGCCATAGCAGAGAGCTGGATTGGAATTGGAGCAGCTGGGACTCAAACCAGCACCCATAGGGGATGCCGGCACTCAGACAGCGGCTTTACCCGCTTCACCACAGCACCGGCCCCGAAAATATTTTTGACATGGTATCAAAAACAGTTACTCTTCTAAGCAAGTGTTTGCTTTAATTACTCAAACTGCGGTTTTTTTTTAGTTCAAACATCTTTATATTTTTACTCAGAAACAAATTAAGTTGTAAAAGACAAGTAGCTATGGTCAAGGGTAATGAAGATTTTGAGAATCCCATTTCTTTCCTGCATGGCTTGGAGAAAAGAAGCTTCTCACAGGTAAATCTGAAAACCAAAAGGATCACTGATCATGCTTCTCTGATCTGGCAGCAAGGAACTGCAGAGCCGCATGTGTGGCCCACACATGGCAACTACTGACATGTGAAGGCCTTACCTTCCCACAGAATATGCACGTTCCTTTCAAACATTTTGCACATAAGCCCCATTTAAAAAATCTATTTTGGATCTTCACACTACTTTATCCTTCTGCTTTTTCTCAACAACTCCTAAGTACCCTGACTTAGTGTATTATCTTTAAATTCTTTCAGAATAAGGTGGGGTGTAAATATAAATAGATAGTGTGTCAACAGAACTTATATTTTTCTTTTTCTCTTCAGCTCTATTAAGGTATAATCAACAAATATTATATATGAATATGTACATTCTTGATATATGTAAACACTGTGAAATAATTAACTTAGCAATCACCTCAGTTGCCTTTTGATACATTCTCAGCAGATTTCAAGGATGCAATCCAGTGTTTTCAACCATAGTCACCATAGTCACCATGCTATGCATCACCTCTCTAGAACTCACTCTTCCTACATAATCGAAACTTTGTACACTTTGACCAGCATCTCCGCTCTGTCCTCATTCCCAGTGTCTGCTAACTACCATTCTACTCTCCTCTTCTGGGAGTTTGACTTTTCTAGAACTCACACACATGCAGAATCATGCAATATTTGTCTTGCTGTGTCTGGTTTATTTCACTTAGCATAATGTCCTCTACATTATCCATGTTATCACAAATGACAGGATTTCTTTATTTAAGTCAGGAGTCTGGAACTCCATCCAGGTCTCCCACATGGGTGGCAGGGGCTCAAACATTGGGCTATCTTCCACCACTGTCCCAGGTGCATTAGCAGGAAGCCGGACTAGAAATGGAGTAGCCAGGACTCAAAAATAGCACTCATATGGGATGCTAGTATCTCAAGCTGCAACTTAATCCACTGTGCCACATCACCAGCCCCCTTTTTTTTCAAAGGCTAAAAAATATTCCATTGTGGACCTATACCAGTTTCTTTACATATTCATTATAAAAAGCTCTGACTTCTTCTCTAAATTTATTGCTAAAATTTTGGGGGGCATCATTGTGGGACAAGACTGCTTTCCTACTTTTCATTTCATACAGTTTGCAGTTAGTGCTTAAAAGAAACAAGACAACTGATGTTTATATTTTGATTTTGTATCCTGCAATTTTACTGGATTTGTTCATAGGTCTAACAGTTTTTTTGAAGTCTTCAGGGTTTTCTATATATAAGATCAAGTCATCTGCAAATGACTTTACTTCTTCCTTTCCAATCTGGAGGCTTTTTTTTTTTCTTATTCTTACCACTGCTCTGGCCGGAGTTTCCAGGACTATACTGATGACAATGGCCATCCCTGACTTGCTCCAGATCTTAGAGGATGAGCATCAATTTTTTTATTTTTATTTTTATTTTTTTTGACAGGCAGATTTAGACAGTGAGACAGAGACAGAGAGAAAGGTCTTCCTTCCGTTGGTTCACCCCCCAAATGGCCGCTACAGCTGGTGCGATGCACCGATCTGAAGCCAGGAGCCAGGTGCTACCTCCTGGTCTCCCATGCGGGTGCAGGGCCCAGGCACTGGGCCATCCTCCACTGCCTTCCCAGGCTACAGCAGAGAGCTGGACTGGAAGAGGAGCAACCGGGAGAGAATCCAGCGCCCCGACTGGGACTAGAATCCGGGGTGCCAGTGCCACAGGTGGAGGATTAGCCAAGTGAGCCGCAGCGCTTGCTGAGCATTCAATGTTTTACATTGAATATGGTGTTAACTATGGGTTTGCCATATATGGCTTCTAATTTGTTGTGGTATATTTCTTCTGTAGTTAACCTGTTGAGAGTTTTTAAATAACAAAAGAATGTTGAATTTTATGTACATTTTCCTTTTCCTCATAAAGTATGCAGCTTCATAAGAATGCATGCACAAGATTAATCAGCAAAGAGTCTAATTTTCCCACCCTTCAGAGATGTGTCTCCTACCTTCAGCTTTTCATTTTGGGTAGTGACCTCCTCAAAGTCTTGGCGAAGTTTTTCCAGTTCACAGTGACGGTTTTGAGCCAGCTCTTTGTTCTCCTCAAGCTCTGCATTCATTTCCTCAAACTACAGAGATGCAAGAAAATAATAATATGTGAATAAAGAAAAAAAATTTAAGTCATTCCCATGTCTAAGCTTCCCATATTCACTGCTCCACTCTTCTGGCAAAAGCCCACGTTACCACTAGTGAACACAACCCTAAGTACCTAGCCACAAGCCCTGATGCTGGGTCAAAAACAAACAAACAAACAAGCAAAACAAAAAAAAAAAAACAAAGGTCCTGACTGGGTCCTTGAGTTTACCTTCCGGGCGTTGATAGTGATTGTGCCACCATATAGACTGCTCCCTGCTCCATACACCTTATAACCTTTCGAATTCACCTAAAGGGAAGAAAAAAGATTCTTTAGCAAGAGACCCTAAGATTTTACTCTGCTAACTAAGGTACTTTCAATGCATCTGTGTTTTTTCCTCAGTCATCACTACCCAAGTTGATGCTTTCTGAGAAGTCTCTCTAAAATTATTCTACTTGCTAAATGGTAATAAAATAGCACTAACCCGTTCCAGGACTTCTGCCAGGTGTCGATTGAGTCGCTGTTCCCTCTTTCGAATTTTGTCAATATCCCACTGCAAGTCATCTATCATGGACTCCAAGACAGATACCCGTGACTCAGCTGTCTCCACTTTACTCTGCAACTTAGAGAACTACAACCCAAAGACAAACAGAACAAGTTAGAAAAGGAATGCCTTCCATCTCATTTAAGCTCTAAATCCCACCAACTTTACCCTTGCTTATACACAAGCATACAATTACAGAAAAGAATTACTGATTCTAACAGTTCTGAGTCACTGAACAATCATGAAAAATGTACAAGTCTGTTAAGAACCCTCACACAAGGAAAAGACCACTTAAGACTGAGTAACTTTTGTACCTCTGCAAAGGACCCTTTTCCTAGACAGACCACAAATTCAACAGAAAATCTGTATGTTTAAGATTTTTTTAAAAAAAATCCTTAATTTTATCAGATATTTTAGAAGTCAACAGTTCAAAATGGCAACTATCTTTTACCCCTAACTTTCTCCCTACATTCCTACAAATGACAATCCACAGAGTAAAATGAAGAATTCCATTCCCCTTTTAAGCCCACTTTGGAGAAATCTAGAATTGAACAGTATAAAGACACAAAAACCTGGCATGGGCATTTGGCCTCGTGGTTAAGCTGTCACTTGGGAATTCCATACCCATTATCAGAGTGTCTGGTTCAATTCCCTGCACCTCTCTACATCCAGCTTCCTGCTAACACACACCTCAGGAGGCAGCAGGTGATGGCTCAAGTACTTGGGTCTCACCTTTGTGGGAGACCCACATGGTCACTGAGTTCCAGGTTCCTGGCTTCAGCCTGGTTCAGTCCTGCTTTAGCAGGCATTTGGGGGGCAATCCAATGAATGGAAAATCCCTGCCTCTTAAAGTAAAAATTTAAAAAGATACAAAAACCATTGCTAGTTTGTTTATTTAAAGAGCTATATGCTCACTAACGTTATTTAACATTTTAGCTACAAAACTGTCAGGGCCTGCACTATGGCACAGTAGGTAAAGCTGCCACTTTTAATGTCAGCATCCCAGGTGGGTGCTGATTCGTGTCCCAGCTACTCCCCTTCTGATCAAACTCCTTGCTAATGGCCCAGGAAAAGCAGTGGAAGTTGGTCCAAGTGTTTGGGCCCCTGCCACCCAGGTGGGAGACCTAAATGAAGCTCCTGGCTTCAGCCTGACCCAGCCACTGGCCTCTATGGCCATCTGGGAAGTATACCAGCAGATGGAAGATTTCTTTCTCTCTCTCTCACTCTCTTTCAAATAAATAAATCTTAAAATAAAAACTGTTACATGTTTCATATAATCTATAGAGACCCTTTGTGCTACTTTTAAAACATGGCCCCAGAATTCACTGACAGTCCTATAAAGAGGCAGATCAACTTTAGTGACACAGTGAAAAGGACACTACATAACTGATGCTGTCTCAGAAATGTCATGCAGGTACTGCCTGGTGTTCTTGGGATACTCACTGGAAGAAGTCAGCTGCTATGTAAAACATCCAACTACCCTGAGATTGCCATGCTGCAGGAGTAACCTTTAGGCATTCCAGTGGCCAAATAAGATGAGATCCCAACATCAACAGCCAAAGAGAGCCATCTTGGACATCAATCCAGTTGAGCAAAACAATATGCTCCAGCTTGGTAATACTAACTGAGATTTGGGAAAAGGACAGAAAAAGGAGGATCTTTCCATCTTGGTAATAAGTTTAAGTCTTAAAATACAACTGATGGATATTCTTTTTACTTACTACACATCAATTTACTTATAAGTGCTGCTATACTCTATTGTCTTTGAAGGGCTGTGAGAATTCATACATATTAATAAAATCTTTAGATGATTTTCCCACAACAGCCCAGCACAGATCTTAACACTAGAGTTTAGGAAACAGGGTATTAAGAAGAACATGAACTTTGAAGCTAAATGGACCTACATTCAAACACAGATCAATCACTATCTGTGTACCCTAGACCAGTCACCAACCCTATTTGAATGTGTTTCCTCAGCAGTAAAATGGGAGTTATTGTACCACTAGGGATAACACTCATAAAGTGCTTACATGCTAGGCACTAAGTAAATGGTAACTATGAAATTACTAATCAATAAGAGTTCAGTGACCAAACTAAAGTAGATCAAATTTCAATGGAGTATTTTCTGAACTAAACCAAAATGATAATCAGGATTATCAAAAGTCTTATGAGATCTTTTCATAATTTTATCTCAATCATCATGTATGAATACAAAAATTGCCAATCTAGGCATGATTTGTTCATGGCAGTCCTTCTGCCCAACTCTGGACTAAAAATTCAAATTTCTCAAGTTCCTGAGTCCCATCAATGCAGTAGGTCCTACTACCCTATTCACCACTGAATGAATACCTACACGTGGTCTTCTGTATTTGGAATAATCTATTATGATGGCATTTCTTCCTAAAGAATAAGATCCTAAAATGTATAAACAGAAGCACAGTCAAGGAGAAATATTCAGTTACCTTCTTCTTCCCTAATCCTTCCCCAGATTCTGATTTCTCAAAGCTAGTTGCTTTAGCCTGCTCTCACGCTTTTCACTATAAAAATAGGCCTTCTAGAGTAAGGTAATGCACAATGTGCTCAGAATCCCAAGTCAGTGTCTGCCATAGACTGTAAGAAACGGTAATTCTCCTTTCTGGCCAGGTACCTCCTGAGACATGGTGTGATGCTTCTCCTGAAGGAGGTCTGTCAATTCCTGCAGCCTCATGTTCTCTTGTCCAAGGAAGGAATTCAGCTCTTGCACTGCTTCCTCCACTATCAGATTATCTGAGGAAGAAGAACTGTACTTTAGTTTAGCATCTAATAGTGACAAATTTTAAAACACCAAAGCATTAACATGCTATCTCACTTCATTTTCCTAAGAATTTCAAGAAGTATGCTAGCATTTATTAAGTGATCTAAACAAAATCCAGAAGTTAGTGACTTAACGACATGAGTTAACTTGCAGCTTGGTCACCTAATAACCATCACTTTTTTTTTTTTTTATTAAAGATTTATTTATTTATTTGCAAGTCAGAGTTACACAGAGAGAGGAGAGGCAGAGAGAGAGAGAGAGAGAGAAAGGTCTTCCATCCGATGGTTCACTCTGCAATTGGCTGCAACGGCCAGAGCTCCGCCGATCCAAAGCCAGGAGCCAGGAGCTTCTTCTGGGTCTCCCATGTGAGTGCAGGAGCCCAAGGACTTGGGCCATCTTCTACCACTATCTCAGGCCAAATTAGAGAGCTGGACTGGAAGTGGAGCAGCTGAGTCTCAAACTGGTGCCCATATGGGATGTCAGCACCTCAGGCCAGGGTGTTAACCCACTGCACCACAGCACCGGCCCCCAACCTTCACTTTCAAGAATGTCAAAATGCCTTGAGGGGGGAGCACTATGGCACAGTGTGTTAAGCTGCTGCCTGTAACACTGGCATCTCATATCAGAGTGAAGATTCATGTCCTGGCTGCTGTACTTCCAATCCAGCTTCCTGCTAATGTGCCTGGGAAGGTAGCAGAAGATAGCCCAAGTACTTGGGTCCCTGCCATGAATGTCTGAGACCAGGATAGAGTTTCTGGCTTAGTCTTTAATCTGGCCCAGCTCTGGCTGCTAGGGATATTACAGCCATTTGGGGACCAGACAAGGAGATGAAACAGTGATCGCTCTCTCTCACTCTCTTTCTCTCTCTCTCTTGCTGTCACTCTGCATTTCAAGTACAGAAATAAATCTTTTTAACAATGCCCTAAAAAGAAATAGCGTTTCTTTAGCATTATTCATATAAGACACAATGTGCCCCAAAATTGCATTTTAAGAAATGAAGACAGTAGGATAGCTAATCAGCATCAAAGTTAATAGCAATATAATTCTATCACAAATTTCTATTATTAACACCAACCCATCATTATGGATAATGTTGAAGATACAGGATTCCAAAGAATTTAATTAAAAGTAAAATGTAAGTTTGCAAACTACAAATTAGCAAACACTTCTCCCCATTCCATGGTTCTTGCCTCACCTCCACTGTTTAGCTTCCGAGATAAAAGCTCCACTTTTTCTTGTAATTTATCATAAACAGTCACAATCTGGGACACAGCTCGGCGGGAAGACTCCACACGCTCCTGCAGCTGAGATTCCATTTCCTCACTGGAACTGCTGGCCAAAGTAGCAAGGAAAGAGAAAGCTGGCTCTTGCCCTTCCCCTGAGAACACAGGGGGAAAAAAAGAAGCCCCCCAAATTATAAAACTGGAAATATCAATATCTACTTTCCTTCCTAAAAGGGACAGCCTCAAGGTGAAACCCTTCTTCAAATAAGCAGACAACATGCAGTGACAGAATTCATCACAAACACTCACCTCTCTCTCGGTCATCTTTACGTTCCTGATTGCTATCAGAGTCTGGTTCTGGTTCAGGCACAACAAGGGCTTTTCTCTCTGTGAGTAGGTCTCCCAAACCCTGCTCCAGATCGTAACGTTTAAGGATGATACGGATGTTTTCATCAAACTGGAGAAGGGCAGGTATAATTATGAAGATGCAAAAGGATACAACTTTGAAAATGAAGGGAGTACTAAGGAGAACTAAAATGAACAAACACATATCTGAGCAAACAAATTAACTACCTGACTCCAGTACCGGTTGACAATCAGTAGTGAGGCATCATCAGTGGCCTGTCGTCGTTCCAGTTTCTCAATGTGCTCACGGAGTTCATCTTCAATGGCCTGCCTCTGATCCAGCATTTCTGCCAGCTTGCGATTTTTGGTTTGCAATGTTCGAATGTCTAACTCCTCCTGTGCCAGAAAAACAGTAGCATGAGTCTCCATGAGGAAATTAGCCAAATGGGCTGTTAAGCTGAACAAGGTCAGATCAGTTATTTCCTAGGAATAAAGCTATTCATTAACAAATTCTTACAACAAACAATTAGATAAATAGAACTAAGAGAGACAATAAAGAAAAGAACGCATGAGAATACATACAAATACACTAGAACCTAAACGTTAACTATCTCTCTGTTCTAGTGACAGATACCTCCACAGGGTGATGCTACCTTAAGACTCTACCATTCAACAGATCACACTCTACCCTGATCAACACTGTCATCTATCACCTAAGCACTGCCCTTTATTCACGCAAGACTTTGGCACCTGGATTTTCTGTATCCCAGTTACTGCCAATGCATCTGGTGCCTTCAATATATGTGTGGGCAAACCATCAAATCCTCTAGCACCTAGGGTGTCAATATTCTTAATCCCTTAACTCCAATGATGCTGTCATGCATTCCAAAAAACACATTTTAGACTTTTTTCATTTCCTGGAACTATGCCACATCTGAAATCTCAAATTCCAATTCCCACTCACTGGAAAAAGAACAATCATAGCTTTCCAGGTATCTCATCCTGTTACCTCAATATACTAGCCTTTCACCTCATTTAAATCTCCAGAATTTGGAATTCTTCTTTCTTCCTTTCAACCCTATTCTGTCTCCACTACTTTCCATATCCTGATTATATCCTATAGTAGAACATTCCTTCAAATACTTGCCTGCCAGCATCAATTCTCTGCCCGTAATCCTTTATTCTACCACTGTGAACAAACCCCAATCTGAATTAATTTAAATAACTGACTATTCCAATCCTATATCCAGCACGTTGAGCTTCTAAAAAAAGGTAAGGGTAGGGAGACTGATGTCTTTACATAATGCATTCCTAACGTGAACAATCTTACAATTTGTCCAGGAATATGTATAAAAAACAAGCTACCTCCCATTCAACAATGGGGTAATATCAAACCCAAGCCTAGTCCTCTTCCCCATAATACTAAGCAGATGGCATTGCCATCGGATAACAAGTTCCTCAATTCCCCAACTCATTCACACAATTCACCAACTTATGCTCACATTTTTAAAGCCACAACTTGTGCCAGGACTCTATTCTATTCTGTTTCTGCAAAAAACTCGCTCTATCAGCAAATCTTGTCAGCACTACCTCCTCAGTAGTCCAAGCCATTATGATCCCTTATGGGATTACGCCAAAGGTTTCCTGAAGCAAACATATCTACACATGTCCAGTCCACCCACCAGATTTCAGCACAGCCGTAGTGGACAGCTCCATTCACACTGACAGAGCCAATTTCAAGCACACTGTGGAGTCTCTAGTTTTTCTGTCCCACATTCTCAAACTGGTTCACCACCCCAATGTCAAAACATGTAGCAGGAGTTATTGCCTTCAAGAGCAACCTTTGACCAACTAGAGCAGGAATGGGTAGATTCAGGCCTCAGATTCCCACCTTCGAAGAGGTGAAGTTCAGAGAAAAACAGGGGAGAAAAACAGAATACCACTCCTAATTGGACTTCTTGTTCTTTCACAGTTTATTCTTCAAACATACATCAGAGTATATTATGGCCCTACTTAAGACATCTCAATGGCTCCTCGCTGCTTTCTGGGTAAAGTTCAAACTGGGATGTGTACTTCTTGCTTCCTTAAGATGTGTGTTTATCCTTATGAAGAGCACACATCTCACTCTATTATAAAAATCTATTACCTTAGCAGTGCTACACTACAGAGTGAACTCTAGGGACTGTCCTCAGTGAAAAGTATAATGTCTAATAACAGAAACTCAACATTTTTACTTATTGGGTAAATAAATGCCTTTGAGGTGAAGGATGTGGAGCAATGCTAAGACAGAAATCATCTTCTGGCACCAATACAGAATACTAGAATCCCAGGCAGCCTCAAAAAATGACACTTCATCAACAACTTACTACAAATGTTCTTATTCTGACTCTGAAAAATTTCAACCTCTCAAAACCTCAGCTAAAATTCAAGTAAGTAACATTCATGGTTTGGTAAGCTATACAAATGTAATGTGTTTTAACATCACATCTCCATGACTCAGTTCCACAACACAGATCCGGATCAAAATCTGTAATATCTAATGTCTAACAAAAATATAACATTACTATGAGCTTTCAGTATAAAATATTTTAATGAAACTTCCAATTCCATAATGTCTATTTATTCACCACTATGCTATCTAGCTCAATAATTACTATTAATAGTTCACATTCATTGAGCAGTTACTATGCTGAAGTTATATTTTAACCCTTAACAGACTATCACTTTATCCTTCCGACAACATAAGAGGTACTATAATTACATTTTCTAGACAAGCAGAGGCACAAGGCCATGCAGCTAGGAAGTGCCAGAGCTAAAAATCAACCCCTGGCAATCTGATCTCATACTTTTTACCACGTTCTAAGTAATTTTGCTACACTGCTTCCAAGAATCTTTCATTGAATTTTTAAAAGAATACAACATCTTTTCACTGCTATGTATCCATAGGCAATGCTGCAGCATGCTCTAGATTCTCAAAAGAACATAGCATAAGCCGGCGCCGCAGCTCAATAGGCTAATCCTCCACCTAGCGGTGCCGGCACACCAGGTTCTAGTCCCGGTTGGGGCGCTGCATTCTGTCCCGGTTGCCCCTCTTCTAGGCCAGCTCTCTGCTGTGGCCCGGGAGTGCAGTGGAGGATGGCCCAAGTGCTTGGGCCCTGCACCCCATGGGAGACCAGGAGAAGCACCTGGTTCCCGGCTTCGGATCAGCGTGGTGCGTTGGCCGCAGCGCGCCAGCCGTGGCGGCCATTTTGGGGTGAACCAACGGCAAAGGAAGACCTTTCTCTCTGTCTCTCTCTCTCACTGTCCACTCTGCCTGTAAAAAAAAAAAAAAAAAAAGAACATAGCATAACCTGAAAACAAAGATCAAATGTCAATGTACTGGCCGGTGCCATGGCTCACTAGGCTAATCCTCCACCTGCAGCACTGGCACCCCGGATTCTAGTCTCGGTTGGGGTGCCGGTTCTATCCTGGTTGCTCCTCTTCCAGGTCAGCTCTCTGCTGTGGCCCGGGAAGGCAGTGGAGGATGGCCCAAGTGCTTGGGCCCTGCACCCACATGGGAGACCAGGAAGAAGCACCTGTATCGTGGTTTTGGATCAGTGCAGCGCGCCAGCTGTAGCAGCCATTTGCGGGGTGAACCAATGGAAAAGGAAGACCTTTCTCACTGTCTCTAACTCTGCCCGTCAAAAAAAAAAAAAGTTAATGTACTTCTCCTCCAGAACTAACCACATCAGTGTACCTACTTTTGGCTCATTTTATTTCCCTCTTCATTTCAAATCACTCCCCCTTACTCCAAAAGGCTTTCAGATTTTTTTAGTTGCAGGTTGCAACTTAAAAAGGACAAGGCATACTTTCATAGCATTGTTTCCTAGGTTTCCTCCTACCGTTGAAGAGACACCTCCCAGCTTAATTGTTTCCACTGTGGTCCCTGCATCTTCAACAGCTGTCTTCTTTTCTGGAGGCACAGAAGTGCCAGGTTCTCCAGCTGCTCTTTTATTTCCAATTCCTGACATTTTGGCAAAAGCTGATAGCTGTTTTCCTAGAGGAAAAAAAAGCAGAAACCAAGAAAAGACATGCAAAAATGGTAAGAATAAAGAGAGACCATCTATGATATAAAAACCAGCAATTTTTCTGGCCGTTTAACCACAAAGCAATATCATTCTCAAATTTTGTGCGGAGGAGTATAAAAAAAAACCACTAAATTGTTAAGGGTCAGGACTAAATGTACATATTCTAAAAAGGAAGGGAAACAAGAAATAAGATAATGGGCAAACGGTGAAAGAGGACAAGTATAAATGTCAGGAACTTCCTCAGGTGCCAAAATCAAAAAGGTACAGCACAATTAAGACAAAAGTTCACTCTGCAGTCCTGGAGGAATCAAAGAGTTGAAAGAAAACGGGAAAATGTCTACTATGTCATGAACCCAGGGCAAGTTATCATCTGTGACCCACAGCTTCCCAAACAGTAGGGAATTCCTATTGTTATTACATGGAATAGATGAGATAACTACACAAAGAACTTCGCCCAGATAGAAAGTAAATATTCAGAAAAATCAGCTCTCCCTTTAAAGTTTGCACCTGCTATTTCCAAACGTATCCCCCATTACTTTGTGCAACCCTAGGGAGGTTAGACCTAGGTGCGAAACCCAGGTCTACCTCTCACGGAGCCGTGTTGCCTTGAAATAGTGAATTGGCCAAGAGCTTCCGTTTCTCCAGCTGTCCAATGTCGGCGAATACATTTCACTATGTCTTACCTGACTTCCAGAATTTCCGAGCTCAAAGGGGGGGCGGAACGGATGTTAAAGCGCTGCGGCTACTTCAGGAGGCAAACCTGCCATCACCGAGACTACTCTGCTTCCAATTCAAGCTCCAGAAGACGGGTACCGGTGGCAGCAACCCGAGTCGGACCACGCCTGGACAGAGAGGAGACAAGGAGCGGGGCAAGGGCCGCAATTGGACTCGCGAAAGGCCAAGGACCCCTACCTCCGGCGCAACTGACTGCAGGCCCGGGAGAGACGCCAAGGCTGAAGCGGGTGAGATTCCCCGGAACCCATACAGTCCCCACGCGCCCTGGGCCGTGATCTAACCTGGGTTCTTCCAACTCGCACGGCCCGGGACCACGGCTGACGACAGTTATTCATCAAGGCCCGCGCACTTCTCCCACACCTCACCTCGGAACCGCGGCGAAGACGGTACAAAGCTTCCGGGAGGCGGGGCCGGGGAGAGGAAGAAGGGAAAGAAAAGAGGAAGTTGCTTCAACCCTGCCCAGTAGAAGGCGAGGCACAGCCGGGCGGAAGTGACGTAACCAAAGGCGCCGCGAAACTAATAAACGCGTCGCTTCTCTAGCAAGACAGGGAGGGCAGTTGGCTCGGCTGAGATCGCAAGGGCGGGAATACCCGGGCCTGGCCGATACGCGACGCGCAACGCCTGATTTTCCTTGACTTCGGGTACTGTTGTTGCGATTTGGGTATTCTACTGAGACGAAGTGCCAGGCTAAGATTGCCATTTGACTGAAGGCCCCGTCAGTCTGCAGGCGGGAAAGAACTCGACTCGGACCTCGGGAAAACGTTACGCAGAGCTTCTTCGTGATGAAATGACGCGTTTGACAGGAAATCTGAGAGATTTCGAACATCTCAGGTTTTGTAGATTTTTATTACAGCTATGTGTACACATTAGAGTCGCTTGTGGAGTTCAGGTCCCTTGAGGGTAGGGCTTGGACAAAGACTTTAAAGCGTTGCTGTTTCCCACCCCCTGGCAACTGTCATAGATTCTAGCGCTAACAGGACTGACAACTGCTGCTGTGCTGTATGGGCACAAGAAACTGACCGGCGTAAAGATGGGAAATGGAAATCGGTTACTAGGCTCTGCTCTCCATACATCAGTCTATTTTAAGCTCATTAATAACTGATTGATTTTTAGTTAACCCATTAAAGCCCAGATCCTCACATCTGTGAATGTTTCAGTGAAATTGACACAGGTACATTAAATATAGGTCAGAAATCATAACCTAGAGCTTACATATCCTTTATTATCATTAAGAACAAAAATAGATATTGTCCTATAGGACATTTGGAACAGTATAGTGTCTTTTTTATTTCTTTTTTATTTATTTCTTTAAAAGAGTCAAGAGAGGGAGAGGCCAAGATCTTCCATCTGCTGATTCACTCCCCAAATGACCACAATGACTGGGGCTTTGCCAGGCGGAAGCCAGGAGTTTCTTCCAGGTCTCCCATATGGGTGGCAGGGACCCAAGCCCTTGGGCCATCTTCTGCTGCTTTTCCCAGCGATTAACAGGAAGCTGGATTGGAAGTGGAGCAGCTAGGACTCCAACCAGCTTGGTAGGTGGTGGCTTTACCGGCCACACCAGCCTCAGTATAGTATCTCTTACATATATAAGCCGTGCTATACAAAGGACACTGGGCAAATATATCCTTGCACACATCACACAATATACAAAGAAGTGACTGATGACCTTTTCAACCATTATTTATGGCGGAAAGGAGCAAGACATTTCAAAGAGTTAAATTTTTTACCATGCTATCACTTTTGCACAAGGTTTGTTTTGACATCAGCATCATTGTTCTTCCCACTTAAGAATAATATTGTGGGGCTGGCAGCGCAGCATATCCGGTAAAGCCTCCACCTAAGGTACTAGCTGGTTCCAGTCCCAGCTGCTCCACTTCTGATCCAGCTCCCTGCTAATGTACCTGGGAAAGCAATGGAAGATTGCCCAAGGGCTTGGGTCCCTGAACCCACATGGAAGACCTGGAAGAAGCTCCTGGCTTTGGATCTGCCCATTCCAGCCATTTTGGCCATCTGGAGAATGAGCCAGCAGATGGAAGATTCTCTCTCTGTCTCTCCTCCTTTGTAACGCTTTCAAATAAATAAATAAATCTTTAAAAAAAAAAAGGAATGCTTTATTTAAAAAAGAAGAAGAAGAAGAATATGGCTTCTTATGTCAAATCTGATATCATCTTGGACAATAGTAGGTCCAGGAATATCATGCTTTAATTTCTCCTTACTTTAGGTATACTAAGCAGATGTTTCTTTGAAAATCCACCAAATTTTTGAGTTCTTATCCAGAAATCTGTGAATAATCCATGCATTTAAAATACACATATAAATTAGTTGAGTGAACAAACCCTAATACATTTTTTTACATCTCTAGGTATCCAATGCCTTTGGTTGAGATACATTGGCTCTATTCTTTATTTCTTGCTTCCATTGTGGGACTTTTCCAATTGGTTTCACTGTATCATTCCACAAATGTACATTTATTATCTAATACAAAGAGAATTTAATTATTTATATTGAATCTGTACTGATACAACCCTCTTCTTTATTTTGCCATCAAAATTTGTTTTCAGCTTCTGGGGACATCTGTTTAGTTTGTTTTCCCACATGATACCTATAGCTTGCAATCCAGTATTTTGAAGGTATACCAACAAGTCATAACCGGTGAACAGAGTATCAAAAAAAGGGTGTGATTGTGGAGTCTCTAGCACATCAAGTATTTGTAGAACTATGTTAATGCCAAGCACACAGGTCACAACTTACCAATAAATAAACACAGGTAGCAACATGTGAGAGTTTATGCAGTATACAATGTCCCAGTGTCCTATTTACGTGACAGCTATTGTCAAACATTGATAATTTGAAATGCAGCTCATTCCTCAAAGCAAAATGACAACCTAGTTCTAGGAAATGCTTTCATGAATGAATTTCTTATATTCCATATCAGTTAAGTATATAATCTGTTGTTCAGTTGAATAGTGAAAGTAGCCTTTGCAGTAAAGTATGCCATTTCATAATGAGTTTAATAATATTTTCAAATGCCCTAATCGTTTAACTATTTTCTCAAAATAGAACTATAAAAACATAATATTTATTTCAAATTTACCATAAGTGGTATATTTATTCAATTTTTTGTAGATTTCCTACATACAGGACAATGAGACATAATAGATTTTAATGACAAACTGTTATTAAGTTAAACTAAATGTCTGTGTTTTAATGATAAAAAGGTAAGCAATCTAGCATATCAGTGAATAGTTACATGCCTCACAGAAATAGGGAAAACTACCTAATGATATCAGATAATGGTCTAGAAATGAAAGAATGCTTGCTGTATGTTAAATAAAATGAACTAATGGAATTTAAGCATCTTAAAGGGGAAAAAACCTAATCTTCAATAGATTCCTGGGAGTTAAATATATTGGTAGGTCCCCATACCTACTAGGTTTTACCTGTGGGTATAGTAAAGAAGTGAACAATGGGAAGACAGTGTTCATGTTGCCTGATACTGGAACATCTTGCCTCACTTGGACAGAATTGACAGGCTCCAAATGTACTTATCATTTCATTCAGCAAAGCAGAAGCCTAATAAATATATTTGTGGGCTTACCTCTTACAAAATATTATATGAGACAATGACACTCCTTCTTTGATCTCCCTCCTCTGGTTTCTCTACTCTGGCAAGCTTTGCAGCTACAAAACTAGTGAATGACAAGCAATAATTCTTCTAGGCCAGAGTTTGTAAACTACAGAGTCACAAACTGTATTTATTCATCAGATATACCTTCTTTATTTTGGCCAGTTTTGGCTTTCCTATATGGTTAAAAGCAAGGAAAAAAACTAACTTAATTGCCAACATTTAAAATACAGATATTTAACATGAAAACCTAGATTAACAACTTGTCTTGGAAGTGTTAGATCCAGCAACACCAGAGTTATGTTATTTTTTTAAGATTTATTTATTTTATTTGAAAGGCAGAGCTACAGAGAGGCAGGAGCAGAGAGAGGAAGAGAGAAGTCTTCCATCCACTGTTTCACTCCCCAAATGGCCACAATGGCCGGAGCTGAGCTAATCTGAAGCCAGGAGCTCCTTCTGGATCTCCCATGCGAGTGCAGGGGCCTAAGAACTTGGGTCATCTTCCATGGCTTTCCCAGGCCATAAGCAGAAAGCTAGATTAGAGCAGCCAGGACTCGAATTGGCACCCATGAGTGATAGCAACATTGCAGGCAGCAGCTTTACCCACTAAGTCACAGCATTGGCCCCCAGAATTATATTATTGCATGGTGACATTATCTAGCAAAGAGTAGTGACTTCCTCTTTTATTAATATTATCTCTGTGTATCATAATCATCACTATTCCTTATCTTTTCCCTGGTAATAGTTGAGTTTCATTTGTGTCTTCACCTATGTAATGAGTATTGTGATAAGCCAATCACTGACATGAGGTAGACATTATTGGTTGCCTACCCAATATCCATTCCTCCTCCCTTTTGTTCTGAACAGAACAGAACCAGGGTTTCATTTTTGTGTCTGTTTACCCCTATATTCCATATGTCTTGGAAGAACTGATTTCATCTTGATGGCCAAAGAATTGTCTTAATATAGATGATAAGGCCCATCCCCTAATCCCAAGTCACAACAATTTAGTTTAGTCAGGACAAGTTAATAAACTTGTATTCCAATAGGAATACTAGGACTGAAAAGTTTTCTTTCCTGCCAGGGTTCTTGTGTGAGACCTGAAACAGTTGGAGCCTTCTTGTAGACATCTTTGAAAATAGAGTCAACACACAGAGTCAGGCAGAACCAAGAGGAATTTTAGGGAAGTGGAGTCAGATTAAGTGAGTTGTTGCCCCTAACTTCAGCCCACACTTCAGAGTACTAGAGAAGATACTGAGAAGAGACCAGACTTTAGAAATTTTCACTTCTCACCATGGGGCTAACTATATTCTTCAGCTATTGATAAGATCTGTCTTTTCAAAAGTTCTGGTCAGTTGGCTGACACCTTCACAGGTGTTAGAGTTCTCTAGAGAACAAAAGCAACAGGGGTGTGTGTGTTTGTGTACTATTTAAATTTGCTAAATCTGTATATGTGTGTGTGTGTGTGTGTGTATATATATATATATATATATACATATGGCGGGAGAGAGAGATTTTGAGGAATTGGTTTATAAGATTGTAGCAGAGTAGGATGGCAGTCTGGAGACCCAGGTAAGAGTTGCTGTTCAAGTCCAAAGTCAGTCTGCTGTCAAAATTCCTTCTTCCCTAGACGGGTAGAGTCATCTTTTTCTCCATTAAGGTCTTTGACTGATTGTATGAGGCCCACTCAGATTATGGAGGGTAATATACTTTAGTCCAACAATTTCATTGTTAATCTCACCCAAGAAGCAGCTTCATAGAAACACCCAGAATAATATTTGGCCAAATGTCTGAGCATCATGGCCCAGCCAAGTAGATATAAAATTAACCAGCAGAGTAAGTCATCATATCTCCAATTATCAGTGAGATCTCTCTTTTCTGAAAGCTCCAGTCAGCCATCTAACATCTTCACAGCACTTGTCCTGACTCAAAGAGGTAGCAGTAACCTCACCCCAGAGAATTGGATAAATGGAATAGATGAAAAGGAGGAAGAAGAAGAAGAAGAAGAAGAAGGAGGAGGAGGAGGAGGAGGAGGAGGAGGAGGAGGAGGAGGAGGAGGAGGAGGAGGAAGAGGAGGAAGAGGAGGAAGAGGAGGAAGAGGAGGAAGAAGAGGAAGAGGAGGAAGAGGAGGAAGAAGAGGAAGAGGAGGAAGAAGAGGAAGAAGAAAGAAGAGGAAGAAGAGGAAGAAGAGGAAGAAGA